CGTGAGTTGCGCGCGCCACTTGCTCGTAGTATTTTTTTTATTCGAGCATTTTTTTTTAATCGAATTTTTTTCATTTGACCTCTTTTTTATTTTTTTTTTTATTTTTTTATGTTATCCTTTGAATATGACGCTAAATCACAAAGAGACAACTTCGTAATTGGGAACCTAGACCAAAGTAAAAAAAGAAAAAGAAGACTATCCTAACACGTTGCACATAGTCACATAATCACATAAGCATGTTATAAGTCAAGATTCACACAATGCCATTCTAAGGTAAAAAAAGGCTTGAGTGTCCAAAGGTACCATACCTTAAGAAACGACGCATAAATCAATCACTCAACGTGTTGACCCATGACATCGCCCTCCCAACATTTTGTTGGTGATATGGGTGGGATGATTGTTATTGATTTTGGGATAGACACCTAGTGTTGGCGACCCCTAGTCAATTAGCTAATCCCCAATGGTTTAAGTGTGCTATGCTTATGCATGATGCAATGTTGCTTATTTGGTTTTTACTTTTGTGCAAAAGGAAGATATTATGCGTTCAAGTCTCGCTCTCTAACTAGAGATTATCCAAGTTAATTCTCGTTACAACCCATAGGCAACCTAGTGTTGGATACCTTGGACCATAACTACGAATTATTCATGTAACCTCTAAATCCCCAGTAGAGTCGCCACTATAAGGAGAGTGATCCCATCGTAAAGGGTACTCTCCTTAAATGCCCTTGGCCACTTAAAAGCCTAGGACTTTACACTTGTTAGGGTGTAATAGGATTTGAATTCCTGACTGTTTGGGGGACCTTGAATTATAATTGATTCCATCATCACGCTTTTTTATAAGAAACAAGTAAGAATTGCCAATGAGTTTTAGGAAAAACTCATACACCTCGTTCATGCCTTTCTTCCATGTGGAGTTCATGGAATAATTAGCACAAATCATAAGTTTAACCATGCCCAAATTGGTCTATAAACCAAAAAGAGTTCGGGAGCGAGGGTACTAAGATAACGTTCCTTTTAGAGGGAAATCGTCATCCTAGCCCTAGTACGACCTCTACTAGCTCTTCCTTTTTTACAATTTCATCACCAAACAATATATGCAACGCGATACCTAAAACTATGTTAGTTGATTTTATTTACAAGCATTAGTTCACGTAGGAATTACATTGCAAGGTCGTTATTCTTATTTAATAATTTTTATGAAAGAACAATAAATAAACAAGATTCGCCTTGGCTTAGGTGATCAACCAACAATTATTTAATTCAATTCTAGTCTTTATTTAACGCAAGAAACTATGTGGAATTGATTAATTAATTACTTTAAAAGTGATCAAACAACACTAATTAATTAATTAAAGTCCTTTTAAACAAGAAAATAAAGGTGATTTAACTAAGTGCTCGAGAATTTACCACTTCTCTTTGCTATATCTCCGTTTAGAACACTTATGGACACCTTCTTGTTGGGGAACCTCCACCGTATTAACAAAGTATCGAAAGGGTGAGTGTTTAGGACAAGAGGGCTAGGTTGCACAAGTTCACAAGTTATTTTGCTAGAGTTTTTAGGTTAATTTCTGTCTATTGAAGCCTCGGTTTAAGCTCGTATTTATAGAGAAGGATTAGGTTTAGGGTTTCGAGCAATCTGCCGCAACAGGTGTCGTGCGCAACAGTTGAATTTGCGAGCGGCAACCCAGCGCAAGTTATAGAGTTGCGCTGTTATGTGCAGCGCAACTATTTGTCTTGCGCGCGACTTTATGGTAAGATTCGATTTTATATTTTCCGTATAATTTCCGAATAATTACAAATCAACTGAAATAGTTGCGCGCGGCAGCCCAACGCGACTTTGTGAGATGCGCGCGGCTTTTTATGCGGCAACACTAAGTTTTTACCTAGGCGCTCCTAAATCCGTCATTATTAGGGTTTAAGCACGGGCTTAAGCCTAATTATGACCGGGTTTAGTTAATTGGACCTTTGTTTTGGCTTTTCATTAATTTGGGCTAGTCTTTTATGTTTTGTGGCTTAACCAGTTATCCATAAGTATTCTTCACTTTGATCCAACACGAAGATGACTTTATTTATCGTCATTGCACTTCCTGTCGGGACAGGAGGCCAAAAGTAGATGTCTACAGGTTCAACTTAATAACCCGATGAAAGTTTGAAATGCATTTCTTGACCCAAACATTACATTTATTGCAAAAAATTAGGCAAGATATATTGGACCCAGATCCATTGGACCCGTCGGATGTGGATCCGGGTCTCCATTTTCAAGACCCGACAGTCTTGGGTCGAATCTGGATCCTTGTTACCCAGATTCGAACTCGGATCCATTGGACCCGTCGGATCTGGATCCGGGTCTCCATTTTCGAGACCCGACGGATCCGGGTCGGATCTGGATCCTTGTTACAAAAACAGATCTAGATCCGGATCCATCCGAACCCGGTCCAGATCCGACCCTTTGCCATCCCTACTCTGCTACCCTACCAGAGCCACCCCTCCCTCCTCAGATCAGCTGCCCGTCGAAACAGCCAAAAGCCGGCCAATCAGACCCAACCACAGCCGACCTCCTTGATTCCCTCCCACCTAATAACATGGTTTGGTTTGGTGCGATTTGAGTCCAAACCAAACCAACCCGCAAAATACGTTTAGTATATTTTTCAAACCAAATCAAACCATATTAGTATTGAAACCAAACCGTAATAATACGGTTTGGTGTGGTTTGGTTTGCGGTTTATGATGAGATGATATTTTTTTTTTCCAAAAATTGTCAAATAATACTTCACTATTTTATAATAATGTTTAAATAAGTAGCCCAAATGGATTGAATTGTACTATAAAGTTACAATAAAAATATTAAGTGCTAACACATAATAAAAATAATACATAACAATAAAAGATATTCATATGAGTACTACATTATAGTCATTGATTATAGAGTATTGACGGTATAGTTTTTATCTATTTTTCATGGTTTTTTTATTTATTCTTTAATTTTTTTTTATATAATATAAAAAAAATTATTGAAAAATTATATAAATATTAAAATACGGTTTATTGGTTTACGGTTTGGTTTGGTTTATAATTTTTGCAAAACCAAACCAAACCATAATCCATGTTTACAAAAAAATCGAGACCAAACCGTAATTTTATAAACCGTAAACCAAACCGCTTAAATACAGTTTGGTCTGATTTGGTTACGGTCCATACCAAACTGTGTACAGCCCTAACCACCACATCCAACCACCCACACACCGAAAAAAACCCAAACATTAACTTCCCTTCCCCGTCACTCACTCACTCCCCACCTAAACCATTCACCCAAATCGACAACAACAAAAGCGCAGCCAAACAACTACCAGACTACCATTGCCGCAAACCAACACCTCTTCCGCCACGTATAACATCAAATCAGTAAAAAACAGCCGCATTATACTTTTGGTTAGCCAATTTAGCCCGATTTCAGATTAATTGAAGCCTCAATTTAGCCTAATTTCAGATTAATTAAAGCCCTAATTCAGCCCAATTTCAGATTAATCGAAGCCCCAATTCAGCCCAATTTCAGATTAATTGAAGCCCCAATTTTGCCATTGAAGGAGTGACGAAGGTAGGAGGTTTGATGAGCTTCAAAGGAGGAGGAGAAAGAGAAAGAGGATTTTGAGCGGTGGCTAAGCTCGTAGGATTGGGAGTCAGCGTTTAGTGGTGGTTGAGCTCGCAATTGATGTGCATGGGTAAGAGAAGGCAGGGGCAGGGGAGTTGGAAATCTGTGTTGAGGTTGAGTATGGGGGTTGTAGAAGGTGGGGATTAGCCGTGGCTTGTGAGTTGTGGTTGTTGTTATGGACGGTGGAGCAGGGGTGGTGTTTGCGTGGGAGTTAGTGTGTAGTGGTGGTGTGGAGGTGGTTGACAGGGATGGAGGGGGTGAGGTGAGAGGAGAGAGATTAAAGGAATTTTTTTTTTTTTTTTAAAAAAAAAAATCTAACATGTTTTACAAGTTAAAAGTAAAAAGGATTATTTTGAGAATATGCGAAACAAAGATGGAATTATTTCTAGAATACGCAAATGTGGGATAATTTTGAAAAGATGTGTCAAATATGGGATTACTCTTTTCAAAATTTCCTAAATTTTTTTGGCCATTTATTGTAAATAATCCCAACTGTCGATTATTTCTTAATAATCCCAAGTTCAAGGGGTGTTGAGTGGGGGTGTTGAGTTAGTGTTTTATCAAAACCCTAAAATTATTTACTCTAATTAATCCCAACTATCGATTATTCCTAAAGTTATGTTTTTTATTGACACTAAAATTATATACTAGTATTAGATTCAAGTTTATCACTATGAAGTAGCGATTTTGTCTTATGATAAACGAATCTTATTTATTAGAGAGGCTAAATGGAAAGTGTTCCATAATAGTTTAACATACTTGTTCAATCATCTAACATTATTCGAGAAAATTCAAGTTTATTACTCCCTTCGTCCCCGATTGATAGTCACTTTTGCCATTTTTGGTGATTTAAAATGTTAGTCACATTTGCTTTTTTCAAGTACCATTAATATCCCCTCAAAAAAAAAAAGTACCATTAATATTATTTTTTTTACCAAAATTCTCTAATACATTTGCTTAAATATTTGGGTAAATTTAACTTTCCCATGTACTTTAATTCTCTAACAAATGGTATATGAGCAAATGTTAAAGTTTAAATTTGGGCAAATGTTTAATTACTTTCTACTTTAATTTGCACAAATTTAAAATACATGGGAAAGGGATGAAGGGGAATTGTTAGAGGAAAGGGATGAAGGTGGAGACATAATTAATTTGCAAAAGTTTAATTACTTTAACATTTGCACAAATTTAAACTTTTTCATGTATTTTAATTACACTTTGTATTTTAATTACTTTTCCATATATTTTAATTACTTTTACTATATAGGAGCAATTGTTAGAGAATTTTGGTTACTTTCATGCAAATGTTAAAGTAATTAAAATATTTGTGCAAATGTTAACGTACTTTAATTACTTTCAATGTAATTTAAATTTCCCATGTACTTTAATTTACTTTTTCATTGTACTTTCTTTATTCTCTTTAATTTCCGTGATTTTATAGCAAAAGTGACTATCAATAAGTGACGGAGACTACTTTCTTTTTATGAAGTAACAGTTGAATTGCAAAGTAGCGATTTTCAACGGAGATTAATTGGAGCAACCTCTTCAAATTCTACTCGGATCAATCTATAGATAAAATCATGACCGTTGAATTATGTTGAACTGACGGTTGCCATTAATCATCCACCTACGTTATCTACACCAGTACACCCCCTCTCTTCTCCATTGCAGCAGCTTCAGAGGTAAGACGTATTTTATTTTTTAATCCTTTATTAAGTCATTATATTATCGTTGATTTGATAATTGAACTTCTGGTCATAATTACTGAAGTTATGGAAGGTTATAACAATCAATTTTGTTGCTAGAATTTTGTTATGTGCAATTTACATTGATATAATTGAGGGAGAAGAATTTAATGTTATTTTTAGAGACTAAATTGATAATTGAGTCAAATTTTATTGTTAATGTGATTTTTGGAGCTTAATTTGATAATAAAGTAAAATTTGGTTGTTGATGTATTGTAAGGCTGTTAATTATAGCCCTTTATTGTAGGAAGTAACTATGAAAACGGACCTTTTCTCCCTCGGCCCCGGGCGGCCACCCCTCTTGCCCGGCTCGGAGACGGGCCTGATACTATTACTAAATTTCATGGTATAGGAGCAAGATTATGGGGGGTTTGTTTGCTAAATTGGTCCGAAAGACGACGAAAGTCTGTCAATTTTAAGACTATGGTTGGTAGTATTGAAAATAGGTTGGTTTCTCAGCAAGGTGGGATTCCATTTATTGAAGATGAAGGTGTGGCACAGCAATTGTATCATACGTTGGGTTCGAAAGGGGGTGAGATGAAATTATGCTATTTAGAGGAAAGGGATGAAGGGGAATTGTCTAAACGAATTTTGGGTCTTAGTCGAACCAATAAGAGAAAGAGTGCTTTGCAATTGTTTAGGTCGATGGAGTTTGCTGGATTACGGCCTGATTTACATGCCTGTAATTCTTTATTAGCTTGTCTTTTGAGGAATACGATGTTGGATGATATGCTGAGAGTGTTTGCATTCATGAAACGTGAGAAGATAATTTCGGGGCATTCATGTAGTTTAGTATTGAAAGCAGTTGCAAGTTATCGCGGTAGTGATATAGCCTTGGAAATTTTTGATCAATGGGAGATTGAAAGTGAGATGAAGCAATGTTTTGATGCGATTGTTTATAATACTATGATGTCTATATGCGCTAAGGAGAATAATTGGGTTCAAATGGAGAGGATATGGAATGCTATGAAGGGAAATGGGGTTATTGGGACGGAAGTTACTTATCGTCTACTTGTTTGTACATTTGTCCGTTGTGGTCAGTATGAGATGGCTATCCAGGCCTATGCTGAGATGCTTCAGAATGGACTAAATCCTGGGTGTGATACAATGCATGCTGTCATAGGTGCTTACACCAAAGAAGAGAAGTGGGATTTAGCTTTAAATTTGTTCCAAAGTATGCTAAATAGTGGATTGAAGCCAAATCTAATTGCTTGTAATTCTTTGATAAACTCACTAGGGAAAGCCGGTAAGCTTAAAGAAGCATTTAAGGTTTATAAACATATGAAATCCTTGGGCCATACACCTGATACGTACACATGGAATGCCTTGCTAGCTGCTTTCTATAAGACCAATCAATATGCTTTTGCTCTCCAGTTCTTTGAAAGCATACAGAAAGATTGGAGCTTTGAACCAAATTTACAGCTATACAACACTGCTTTAATGTGTTGCCAGAGGCTTGGTTTTTGGGAGAAAGCTCTGCAGTTTCTTTGGAAAACGGAAAATTCTGGAATGTTAGTTTCAACTTCATCGTACAATATAGTTATTGGTGCTTGTGAGGTTGCTAGAAAACCAAAAGTTGCATTACAGATTTATAAGCACATGGATCAGAAGAAGTGTGCCCCAGATACTTTCACACATTTGTCTCTAATCAGAAGCTGCATTTGGGGAGATCTATGTGATGAAGTGGAGGACATTTTAAATGTAAGTTCATACTTTTCTGAAGTTGGCTATTTTTGCCGGATGTCAACTAATTTTAAATAGATCTTATGTATCATGCAAAATCCAACCGTATTATTTGTCAAGCTGGCATGCTATATCTATTAACTCCAGTATGTAAACAATTATTTGAACTGGCCCATGTTTAAATGTGTCAGATTCTTTGACTGGTTAATTTTCCTTTATCTTCTTCTATGACAGTTTTTTTGTTGCCTTTTTATTTTTATTGTTTGGCTTCAAGATTCGTTGCTGTCCCCTTTGGCAGGAGTCATCACTTGATGTATCTCTTTATAATGCTGCAATTCATGGAATGTGTCTTAGAGGGAGGATTGAGTCGGCCAAGAGACTATACATGAAATTGCGTGACGTTGGCCTTGTACCTGATGGGAAAACACGGGCGTTGATGCTTCAATATCTGCAACGTGTCAACTCAAGGCAGTTAAAAAAGAGCAGGTAGAAAATACTTGTTTATTAATATGTCCTCTTCTTCTAGAAATAATATTCACATATATTATCTTGGGATGTCCTAAAGTAAACCCATCAAGGGCATCAATAAAATACTGAGATCTAGCTATACAAATATTCAATACTAAAAATTCCTTTACTCTACATCTATCTCTTGATTGGAAAAGAAAAGCCAGCGTTGCTATCAGATTAGTCATGTTACTGTTTCTTTCAGTATATACGAAGACCACTTATCCTTTTCTGCTTTAAAGGTCGGCAGTACCTGCAAAAAGACAGCGAAGGAGGAGAAGTTAAGAAAAACAAGCCATGAGATGCATCCTCTAAGCCAATTACAACTGGAAGTTGTAGAAGACCCTGTAACGTGGTTCTATGTTATCAAGTGCTAGCTCATGAACTGCAGGGCTTCTTCAGACAAGAATGCAGAAGTCTATAGGTATAAAATTGTTGTTCTGAGTGCTTTGATGAGTAATATCTGCGTACTGCTTGATTTCTCCCTCTTATATGTGTTTCCTTTTGTCTTTCTGTTCTCCTATCATGCATAAGTTGCTGACACCATTTCTTTGATTCGCCCAAATCTTATTATTTGTATTATAGAATTTTCATGGATCATTAGTGACTGGGTATGAGATAATGAATCTGATTTGAATTCATTTGCATGCTAATCAGTATCGTTTCCTTTGATAATCTCTGTCAGGCCGTTGTGCTCTAACTAAGCTACATCTGTTTTTTTCATATATTTTATTTTTATATATTTATATTTTTAAATGTGCTCCTTGGCCTACTCACCTAGTCGAAAACTATTACACAGCCTGAAGGAAAGTTGACTGATAGGCAGATTTTATCAGAATGAATCAGGCAAAACCTTTCATGCTTGTGAAACTCTTAGTACGTCATTTCCATTGCATTATAGACAACTTCTAGTTCCGCATATATGTTTCCTGGATCCTGGTGAAAGTGCAGTAGTGAACCATAGTTCAGTTTAACTATTAACCTCTCATGTTGCTAGCTAGAATTTGTCTTATAGACTGGAATGGTGTTCCTTATTGACATTGGCCTTACTTAGCCCTATCAAAGGACAGGTTAATGGTATCCTCCTTATGCATTTAAGATAATGATTCTTGGTAGGAAGTGATCATCCAAAATTGTTAAGTTTGAATCAAGAATCAAGCGTTTTTTACTCTTGGTTTGCGTTATTAATGAAGTTAGTGATTTTTGCAAGAAAGCTGGTCAGATCAGGAGTAGCGCTAGTGTTAATGGTAATGTCCTAGTAATAGAAGACCTAGATTATGCTTTGTTACCTCACAAAGTCATTTGTTGATTATATCACCAAAAACTGTTTTTAGTCAGGCCATGAGGTACTTGCCTTTTCAAATTAACTCTAATATTTTTAGAGTCAGTAAACTAACAACTCTTTTTGTGGTTGGTTGTGAGAAATGTTGTGTTTACTTTCATTTTGTCACAGTTGCAAGTGCCAATTTTATGTTTGGCTAATTCTAGAGGCATGTCACATGTATTATACAAGAGCTTGTGTGCACTCACAAACCCGACTCCGAACACTTACCAAAAAAACGAAAGATTAAGTTGGAGAGGAGTATTTTGTGTGTATGACTGTGTGTTTAGACTTTAGACTAACAGCTGGCGATTGATGAATATAAAAAATATTGTAACATCAGTCAAAAGAATAAATATTGTAACTGTTACAATATTCAAACAACAAGAGCAGTCCATAAACGTACCCAAAAGATAGAGGGCCCCAAACCACACACATTCCGGCCCCAAACCACACACATTCCCCAAGACCCAACTCCCGATCCTAGCCTAGCCAGTGCGCATGTGTGTGGTATAAAAACCCACCACCCACTTCTTCAACTAAGTAAACTAAAAGTACTCCAATATATAAATGTCAGAATACTCTCTCTTTTTCTTTTAATGTGGGACTTTTTCTCACTTTGTTTTCTCTCTCATTCTCTGTTTTACATCAACAATTTCCAACGTGTGTTTCAATTGTATCGTTCACTTCTTTCTGGTTTCATTCTTCAATATAAAAAATAAAACAAGTAAATAAAATAGAACAGTTTTTCAGCTCAATTATTCTGTAGATGCAGTATATGCTGCAAGTATTGCTTCTTTAGGTTAATATAGAACATTGATTATCTAGATGTTCAGATGTTCTCCTGTGAGCTGTGAGTACTTCTAATTAGCAGTCAATTCATTTTCTTGGTCAATATTTGCATACTAGTTGAGTATATTGTATAGCACCTTATGTTTAAGGATCTAACCAACTGAACTCAATACTCTAGAGCTAATTACAAAAGGACATTAGTTTTTATGTTCTGCAAAGATCACTTGACCTGACAGAGGGGTTAAGCTTTAATCAATTTTTCATTTTCAAATCTTATAACTTTTTGTAAAATTTTAGAGCTTTGGTCCAGTTACTTCTTATGTTTATGATGCTATGTATAAACCATTGATAATCATGACGTTAAATCTCATCTAATTAGCAAATGAAGTGGTCTACAACCATGATCTTCGTGTTTACAAAGCAATCTTGTGAAAAATTCCTTAATTGTGTGTTCAAGACTTCTACAGTCTTCATTTTTTGCAACTGGGAAAAAACTTTTGGTTAGAAATTTTTTATTAAATATGCATGCACATCTTTCTGAATATATGAATGACGAGTGCAGACTCCTCAACATCCTCAGCCTTAAGTGCAATCACTTAATTCTTAATAAATTCAGGATTTTGGTAACCAAGTGAAGTTTGCAAGTCATTAAGGAACCTGCAAGCTGCTCCAACTTCCAAGTTGAACTCTTTGTTTCTTATAAAGCTATCAACATAGCCAACCAAGGAATTTGTGGTAGGTTATGTAGTACCTTTTGTACCTGTTGCCTTTGGAGAGTTAATCCTTACCAGGAGAAGTTAGTGTTATAATGATATCAATAAAAGTATTAAACATGTCTTCGATTGATTCTTTTAAGTTCCATAGAAAACAATTCGGTTGATACATCAAAAAAACAATCTTTGATCTTTTAACTACACTTGAACTTTCAGGAGTTTCCGTGTTACAAATCGATCTTTGATCTTTTATTGTCATATTTTTTTCCTATGTAATTCATGTTTGGTATTTGAATGAATAAGAACAGATTTCCTTTAAATGCAGTAAATGACTGGTATACTAAGTATACTACGTATTCTGCTCATCTGCTTAGCTTATTGACACATTAAAGTCTTTTTTTGTACTTTATTTTATTTTATCTGTTTTTAAATTAATGTGTTATTTTGCATCTGTGTAGGGAACGAATATATCATACGCAGTTGACAAATGATGGGAAGGACCAAGGACCTGCTCTGCTTGTTGATAAACCAGTGTCGTGCTTTCTGTAGACAAAACATCTTATGTTACCAAAATTGAGAATATAAGGAGTTAGGTAGCTCCTTCATGCATGCAAAGAACTAGAATTACAGTATTGAAAGTCATAATCGATGGATTGACAAAGTATTGATTGGCCAAAAAGACCTATCATCTTCATCTGATATGAAGGTAAATGATAAATTGTCTTGGTATGATCGTAAATGAAGGAAAACAGTTTAACTTTGTTTATTAGGCCTCTAATTGCTAAGTGATTATTTACATGAGATATTGACATTATTGTTGATTGGCCAGAAGAAGCAATTGAAACTATTCTCACTTCCAGAGCAGACAAGTTTCCAATGTCTTTCCGTTCAAATAGACATAAAGATAGAAGAGGAGTCACCTTCTCAGGAAGAGAGTCAGAACTAAGATTCAGCCATCAAGTTGGATGAAGTCTCTGAGGAAATTAAAGTAGCATGACAGGAGCAGTGATTTTATTGATGATGTATCACCTGCACTCCTAACTTGAGAAATGAGGAGCGGCATTCATAGATCTTGTAACAGTTGTACGTAAAGAGTTTGGGATTTTGGATCCTTATCAATTCATCAAAGTTCATGCAATAGCGTCTGCCTTGGATGTAGATCTGGTAATGCAAATTGGTGAGTTTACTGTCAAATATGTCTCTACCTTGTTGGCATGAACTACTACCATTTGAACACAATTATGGTATCAGAAACTGGTATTGGGCTAGGGGAGTCGATAAGCACACATACTCTAGTTATACAAGGAAGACAATTTTTACAGCAATAGCTTTAAATAATTGAAATTGACGGTTTATTTATTTATTATTTTTTTTTTTTTTTTTTTTGAAACTCTCTTTGATAACACTATGGTTTTATTTTTCTAAGTGGTGAATGGTGAAAATTCTTATTATCCTGACGAAAGATAATAGTTATTTTTAATAAAAATATTTAACCATGGTAAATTATTTATTTTTTAATAATAAAATAATTTTGAAATTAATTTTTTTTAATAAAAAAACCCAACCCCCTCCGACCCTCCCCCACATACACAGCCACCACCTGGCCTCTCCTCGGGCCAGCGGTGCCTTGCTCCCTTGCCGGTCACCATACCTTCTCCCATTTCATCCACCCCGATTCCCCATCCCTTTTCCCACTCCTAGATTTCTACCCCAACCCTAGTCCTTATAAATTTCCCCCATTCTCTCATGCAAATCCTATTTCGAGGATCAAATTAGGAAGATTTTGAACCAAAATTCAGCAGAAGCGACAATTTATAATTTTCCCATGAGTTGATTTCGTTTGGGGAGGAAAGATTAAGAATTTGAGGACAGAGATTAGGGGAGGGGGTTTCATTCTGAGGGAGCTGGTTTCGGGGGAATCGCGATCGCAGGGAGGCGAACAAGAGGAATGAGATAGAATTAGGTGGAGTTTCTGAACAATTAGTGATGAAGAAGCCCAAGAAAATTGGTGGAAAAGGCCAAGAAAGTGGTGCCGAAGGAGAATGTGACGACAAAGGAGAAGGAGATCGAAGGCCGAAGGGCGTGGTGCACAACAAAAAAAATCGCGTTTATATTGACTAAATCACCGACCGAATAATATCAATCGGTAATTTTAAATTGTACCAACTGATTTTAAGTATGTCGGTAATTACCGACCGTTTTTAAATATTACCGACCGATTTTATGTATGTCGGTAATTACCGACCGTTTTTAAATATTACCGACTGAAATTCGGTAGGTAAAATGGTCATTTCAAATTAAATATATACCGACCGATTTACCATCTAATGTCGGCCAATAAAAGTTTTTAATGAAAAGAGGTATGCCAACCCACTTTTCATTTTGCCCGACCAAAGTTTTCAAAAAAAAAAAAAAAAAAGAGAGAGAGAGAGAGAAAGGAAGCCTCCAGAAGAACGTGTAGGAGTTTATAGGTACTAAGCAGCGGAAATAATATGAATCATATTCAATAAAGCACCTAATCCCAAGAATCACATGCATAACAAACAAAGACACATAATCATACCTTTGAAGCGTGAATTCTATGTAGTTATTCAACAAGCAAATCAGGGAGAGAATAGAGCTCCAAATGTTGCTCCTCTACTTAGTCCACGAGATTCGAACGAGCCGTCCATCAATACTAGATTGGTCAAGTGATTGAGGAAAACCGCAATCACCACCTTTAATTGACTAAGCCGACCACCATGAACCACCACCACCACCACAAACCACTACACTGGAGCCGAAGGAGGAGAGAGAGCCGTGAGAGAGAGGAGAGTTTGAGAGGGGTTGGTTTCGTGTTTGCTAATTCGGGTTTGATCTTACTGATCACTGAATTGCTTACTTACTACTAGAAAACCCTAGACACCTAGTCTATTTATAATCACATTATAATTAGACTAGGGTTAGGAAGTCCAAAACCCTCAAACCTACTCTCATGGCCGGCCATACTAGAGGATGAGGCCCATCATGGGCCTTGTCCTCTCATGCCCGATCTAGACCCTTTGTGTGACCTTATATGGTCCGTCCAATTGAGCTTTGGGCTATTTTACTAGCCCGAAGATCGTTAGTACCTTTAGCAATGATAAAACGACGTACCAAATGTACGAACTTAATTATCTCTATAATTTGATCTATTTATATATCTAGTAATTGCACACGACGAAGACATAAATCCTTTAATCTCCCACTTGTCTGAGACAAGTGTGCAATATTCAAATTCCTTAAGTCAATATGTGTCGATTTGATAATATGATTGCATCACACGTCGAGATCATATTAATCTACAAATCGTTTCTTGAAATCTGAGTTAGAATTACAAAACCAAATGATTACTAAGTAATGCATTTGAACGCGGCGACGTATTTTCTGAATTCTCCCTCTTCAAGCGGCCATGACACATTTTCTAATTTAATAGGTAGACTGTATTCAATCTTGTGACAACAAGGCTCCCACACAACTTTTGAAATAACCAGGAAACACTCTTTATAATCTCCAGTTACGGCAAGACGTTTGAGTGTTCCACAGTCATAACATCCATTAAATGAACTCAATGTTCCACTCATGTCAAAGGAATCCACTAATATATCCGGAAGCTCTATACTTGAACTTCAAAGTAGGTCAATAGTTCGATCATGCATCATTCATGCATATCCAAGTGATTGACCGAGCATCATTATGCCCCTATAGCACATGAAACTGTGTTATCCAATCAATCTTACATGTTAGTCCATTTATTGAAATCATTTATGTCCACTTTAATGATCTTGAACTAGGAAGTTAAATAATATATGAATTTTGTTCACCTGTGGGGTTTCATTTACCAGGTCATCAACCTGATGAGCCCATCAATTCATAATTATTTTGGACATTTTATTTAATTTCCAAAACCATGATTAAATAAGAGAAATAATAATTTCTGTTTTAAACATAATTCTGCAAATTGATGCATCATTTAAGTAATATGTTTTCTTAAAACATACACAACCTAAATTACATAACTTGCTTCAATCCAAGACTTTAATATGACTTTCATACCTTAGTCTGTGGAAGGGGTTTAGCGATTTTGAGTGAACAAGGAGAAGGGAAAGCTTGGTTGATAGAAAAATTAAGGAAGAAGGATGAGTGCCTTAAAGAGAAATGAAAAGCTTTTGGAAAGTTTTGGAAGAATTTTTGCACTAAGGTCAAATTCAACTGACCATAACTTTTGTTCCACTCAACATTTTGAAGTGATTCGAATTGGAGATTAAAGTTCATCTCAAGAGCTTTCCAACGACTGGTCACATGCCTTATTCCGATGAGTAACGAAGAAGTTATGACCTTCCGAAAATAAGCTGTTTCGCCAGAAAAGAGTTGCACGTCCGTGCAAGTCACTGCACGTCCGTGCCAAATGAAGCACGTCCATGCAAGGTCAGGTAGTATCTACTGGTCGTATTTTAACAGGTCTGCACGTCCGTGCAACCTTTGGCATGTCCGTGCCGACCTGTAGACGGGTCGTTTCCTCGTGTTCTTCGTCCTTTTACTTGGGGGTTATATAATACCTCTTTGGCTTCATTTGTAAGGGAAGATCTTCTTACAGTAGTTTTAGCTTAGGTTAGGATTTTTAGAGAGAGAGACTCTCATTTTCTAGAAAGAGAAAGTGTGAAAAACTTGTTGAAAGCTTGGAATATGAAGAATTGAAGGAAGAAGACTTGAAGATTTGATTATTTCTTGCATTATCAATGAGAATTTCTTACTCTCTCTCTTATTTTATTGCTTTAATTACTTATTTTTGTATCTTTTCTAGTTTTATTACTTGTTTATGTTAAATTAGTGTTTGATTTCATGTTCTTAGTAGTTTACTACTTTAGTTTTGCAATTTATAATGATGTGTGAGTAGTTCTTTTACTTGGGATGGTTGAAACCATTGATGAATTCACAAATACTTGTTTGCATGTGTTGATTTAGCTAATGTGGGATGTTAATTAGTTAAGTTTAAGTGGTTTCATTGTTAGTTCTTGTAAGTGGCCATTGCTAGAACTATTTATCTAAGCTTTCTCAACGAAGGATCGAGAGATGAACTTGAGTTAGCTCTCTTATGCTTAATTGACTTGAAATGTCATGAGAATAGGAATTTCCAATCAAGGGAATGTTTATGTCATCGTGATAATGCTTTAACACTTGTTTATGCTTTGTAACCACGAGAGTAGGTTGTATTCATAACTCAAGTAATCCCTCTAGCTTGAGAGAGTAGTTGGGTGCCTTAGATGACTTCCCCTAATTTATCTCCAAATTGCTATGTTTTGTATGTTAAATTGTAGTTTGTGAATGACTTAATTGGTGGATACCTTCCCAAGATCCTTTTTATTATTGTTTGTAGTTTTTCATTATAACTCAAAACCCAAAAAGACTTAACTTAGCTTATCACAAATCGATACTTGTTAGTGCTCCCCTTAGTCCTTGTGGGATCGACCCTTACTTGCCCTTTATACCATTAGAGAGACCAAATTAGGTTTTTATCTTTGGTAGGCTCGACGACGGCCTATCAGACGTCTTTACCATTGTCATCTTAAAAGTTGTTAAGGAGCACCACAGAGTCAGTTAAGAGGAGGACTCCTTGCTTCCCCCTTTGAGTTGACCCATAATAGAGCTTCGATGCACGCCCATGCTTCACAATGCAAATCTGATGATGCTGCTCCATGCTTGCCTCCACAACCGAAGGTATCGATTTGTTCACTACCATTAGTCACCCAGCCGATACCATCCCTTGTAGTGTTCTTAACCTATGCCCCGTACCATACACTTGTATAGTGAAACTATCATAACCGTTTCTTTCTTTGCCTAGCTGAACATGGTTAAAACTCAATGGGATAATAGGGTCAACATCGGCCTCGTTTGCACCACTATTATCTTCCCCTATTCTTTGCGTGAAGGTCTCATGAGCATGCAAATCCAAGTTGATTAACTCTGTCACTAGGACAACCATCCCACTTACCTCTTTAAAGCACCTCTCATTCCCAGTCTTCCATGCGCCCCATAAGTGGGCTATGAATCTACTTATGCGGGTACTATGTTTACCATCCTCGCTATAGAAGAGCAGGATATAATGTTAGATCCATACTTAACGAGTTGAACCCAGGAGAGACAGAGAAAATGGAGAGGGAACCTTGCTCCTAGTTCTCCACTGCTAGAATGCAGAAACGGAAAATGTGTTGGCTATCTTCCACGTCCCCTCCACAGTTTCCACACATTTCATTGATTTGTATTCCCTTTTTGGCTAATTTTACCTTGATGGCAATCCCATCATGAAAGACACGCCATAAGATCTTCCATTATTTAGATTGAATATTGAACCTTCAGGTAAGCTTCACAAAGTCTTGCTCTCTATTATCAGGAACTACCCTCTGTTCTTTGGACATAAAGTAGTAACCTGTTTTCACAATATATCTCCCCAATGGATGATGTTTCCAATATAGAAAATCATCATCCAATCTTGTAGGAAGCTCCATAAAAAGGATTGCTTTTGCACTATTCTAGTCAAAGCACAACGATTCATCAAATTATCTTTTATATCGATAAACCCAAATTCGAGGAGGTTAGTCGATTCTCACATAGTCACACATAGCGTCCTTGGAATTTTTAATTGAATTGAGAATTAAAGACATTATAATAATCTTGGCCTTCAATCATGATAGAAACGATTTCAATATAAACTTATTATATAACACGGTATGTTAGACACTTTAACCTTATAGAACTAATGTATGGTAATAGTTAGCATTAAAAGTGAAGATTTTTGCTTCGTTTTGATTTCAGTAAAAAAAAAATATGTTTTAATCAAATGGCATATTTAGATTATTTTCCAAGGGAAAAAAACGCTTGATGCTTGCTACTATTTGGAGGATATTAATTATTTCTAAAGGAACATAAAAGAGGAGTAAAGTTATAGCACCTTGTTAGAATTTTGAAAGGTATAATGGGCAACATCAGCAACACAATATTCATAAGATTAATCTTGTACTTTTTATAAGGTAAGGATATGTAATTTTAAACATAGTCATGTGACATCTTGTTAGAATTGTCATAGTACATACATACTAATTAATTATTATTTTTAACTAGATGAATCTCGTGCGATGCACGATTTGTTTGAATTTTTTATAATAATTATATATATATATATATTTATATATTTATGTGCTAAAATTTGTTATATATTTAGATAAAATTTCTAATATCAAAAGATAATATTTTATATTTAATTAATTTAAAATGGAAGATCTCGTTTGCTAATTTTGCTTACGTGACAGTTAAATTATTTAATTCTATAAGAAATTAATAATATTGTATTTAATTGGCTACCACTAAAACTTATTATCCTACGTGGCGCACTGAAAAAATTAAATCCTAGGTGGCTCTCTAAAAACTTATTATTAGTTTTTATTGTTAACTTATTGAGAAAGGAAGATAATGATATATATATTATAATCCTCTTTGATGTTTTCTTTTGTAAGAAGATGGGAGTATCATTTAGATTTGAGTATCTACATGACTTATGTTTCTAGATATCATAGTATGACCTATGTCACTATATATATATATATATATATATATATAGCATGTTTTTATCCTATGTCCAAAAGGGTGTAAGTAAAGAAAATTTTAGGATCAAAAAATCTTTGCAACATTAAACAACGAAGAAAAAAGTGCTAAAACACTAAAAACAACATGTTCCTCCTAAAAAAAGTTGTACCTATTGCTATTTTATTCATTATTGTAATTTCGAGCTCAGGTAACACTGCGTTGCAATTTTGTTATTTTCTTGTTGATTAATAATATTTATGTAATGATACATACAATTTAATTTTATGAATTGCAAATCTAGTATCTTTAATTTCTTTATATATATATATACATATTTAATTAATTGTTATTCTCAACATATTCTGTTAAAATTTTAGTTTTGATGCATACAATATTATCCTTTGCGCCTTTAATTTGAGTAAGTTTTTTTTTAAGTTACACTAGACTATTTTTTATTATTAAAATTATTGTTTGTTGCTGCTGTTATTATTATTATTATTATTATTATTATTATTATTATTACTATTATTATTACAAAAAAAATCTTTTTTTTTTATGTTATTTGATTAGTTTTTGAAGCCGAAGCACGTGGTCGTCCTCAAGATCCTGAATATGAGTGTTAAACAGATGAAGCTGTACCATGCATACTAACACAATGTATCGAGGCTTGTAAGACATTTATTAATAGGCCTGGTGTATGTTTACCACCAATCGCTGGAGCACCTCCAGTTTGTTGTTGTACTCTTCCCAAAAAGAAGAAAACCTTTACCTAATGAATAATAAAAAAAATTCAATTTATGCTAATATTTTTATATTACCTAACAATGACCATTTCTATCCTTATATGGCTAATTGTTTAAATTATCGAATATTATTTGCAATAGGGCTAAAAGCGTAATTGTATATGAAATTAAAAGAACTTTACACCTTTGTGTTCATGAATAAATTTAAATCTCACAAAAAATTATTTTGACAAATTAAAAAAATATTTATAAAAGTAAAAAAAGGGCCTGAAAATCGTAATAGGATGCTATTAAGTAATTTAATTTGCTAAATTAACATAATAAGTATTTGAATTAAAGTTTTTTTTTTCAAGTTGTGAATATTAAGAAATTCTCGAATGAAACCAAATGTATCCGAACCAAATGAAACCAAAAACTACAAAGTAATATGTATCCGAACCCAAATTTGTATGGAAAAATTAATTTTAATGGTCCAAACTTACGGCCATCCGCTAAAAACAGTCTTACCTTTTGATTATTCCATAATGTACCCAACTTTGGGAAATTCTTCCCAAAATGGTCCTAAACCTCAAATGACGAGGGTAACCAGTTACTAATGTCATGTGTCACAATTATGTTGATTTTTTTTAGAAAAAGATAGAGAAGATGGTGCTCATGGTGGAGAAAGATAGAGAGATAAAAGGTGGTGGTCATGGTAGCTTTACAAGCTAGGATGGTGGTTAGTTTATGATAATGGGAGAAAAAGTCAGGATGAGGTGATTTGATTGTGGTTAGTAAGGTAAAGGGTGTACGGGAGGCAATTGGAGTTATTGGACTTGAGGGTGGTTTGGTAAGGGACCATTTTGGGAAGAATCCATAAAAATTAGACTCACCAATCAATTAACCTATACTAAAAGCAAACCTAAAATAACACATGTCACAATGTCATTAACAATTTTTTCGCCCATTTTACTTTCCGTTTTTACGCATATTCTTTAAGAAAATCATTTTATAATAATTTAAAATATCTTTCTTCCAATTAAAATTCTTAACAATAATAATTCTCCATATAAACCCAACTAATATATTTTTACATATACGTAGTCTTTTATATTAGGTATTATTTTTGTAAAAAAAATGAGGAAAATGTTATTAAACAATACTGCATATATTATTTTAGTTTTCGATAATACTATATGTTAACTTCTTTTTTTCTTCCAATTTTGTTACTTTTGCAATTATGTTTAATTCAATTAAAAATAAATTCATTTTGTTAAGAGATATCCATACACTTTTTTTTTCTACTTTTAAAATTCGTATCAATAATAAAGCACCACGTGTAAAAATAAAACCTTATACATTGATATAGTTAGGAATAAAATTAAATTTATATTTATAATTTTTTAACCGTGCATTACATGGGACTTATTACTCCGTATAAGATAATCAAAAGGTGAGACTCTTTACGACAGATGGGTAAAACTTGGGCTTGTTAAAATCAATTACTACCTCCGGTCCACTTTACTAGCAACTTTGACGGGGTTTGCGGAGGCCAAGACAAAACTTTTAAGGGGTGAATTAGAAAAAGTAAGGGTATGTAATTAGGAGATAAAATTGGAGGGAATAGTTGTGGTCCCCTTTTGTTGACTTTTGTAAGCACTTGTACTTTTGTGAAATTAGTGGGAAATTCCCACCCTTTTTGCTGGCAGCATAACCAATAAGTGGGAAAATGTTTTGGGCAGCTTGTTTCCCTCCCAAAATTTCCCCAAATTTCAAATGTTTAACCAAATTCCCCCAAAATTTAAATTTTTGCATTAAATTCAAACAAAATGCCCTATATAAAACCAGGGCTTCCCTTTCAATTCCCCATTTTCAAAAGATCAGTTTTAGGAGAATTGGGGAGGGGGGAGGGGGAGAATTAATTCAAGTAACATCACATCAGAAATTAGTTTAGTAAATTCAAAATACAGACAACCTAACAAATTACAACCGTCTAAAAGTTGATTAGTTAAATCCTAATTCCTAAAGCTGTGTTAGTAGATGCAGCTTCAATAATTACAGGAATAGGCTCCGTTGAAGACCGTCCAAAAACCACCAGCCGCCACTTCATCACCAAAAAGAAATCCTGAAAAATTTTCAAAAGAGAAGGGACTCATGGGAGAGTTCATACATGAACTTATGGATGTGTTAATTCAACAGGACTAGCTCATGGAAGATGAATTCAACGAAGAACAATTCATCCAAGAAGAGTATCAAGGGTCGTCTGATTCAGACCATGAACAAGACCAACATCATGAAGATAATGATGCAGATGGGTATGATGCAGATGATGATGCAAACCAAGAAGAGCTACAATTCAATTGCAGAGCAACAAGAGAGATGACAGTAGAATAGAAAAGAGCAATTGTTGAGGAGATTATGTTGCACATGGAGGGGGACTCACTGCCAAGAGGCTTTTTAGCCAATTTGGCAAGAAAACATTCAGTGCACAAATCTACAACAACAAGATGGTTTCAGGTAATAAAACATTCTCTAGCTCAAGGTATTGTTGTTGATGTTAATACAAAAAAATTAGGCAGGACAGGACGCAAAGCAAAAGAATACACAGATGAGTTCCTGACATCTGTACCATTGTACAAAAGAACAACTGAAAGGGCATAAGCTGGTGCACTGAAAATACCCAAAACAGCATTGCATAGGCTAAGGCAGCAAGGCAGGCTGAGAACACACACAAGCACAAATCACCCAGCATTGACAGAGAAGCACAAAGTGTCAAGACTTAAATGGTTTTTAAGTCTAATGAGTCATGTACCAGCAGTAGGGGACCCAACATTCAGTGATATGCAGCAATGGATACATTTAGATGAGAAATGGTTCTACATTAATCCAGAAACAAGAACCTTCTACCTACTGCCAACAGAAGATGATCCATACAGGGCTCAACAATCAAGGAGGTTCAAGATCAAAGCAATGTTTATGGGAATGATAGGTAAACCATTGTTTGATGCTGAAAACAACATGATACATGATGGAAAATATGGCCTTTTTATCCTTTTGTAAAGTATGAAAGAGCCAAAAAGAAAAGCAAGAACAGAGATGCAAGGACTCTAGAGACAAAGGCAATTCAAAGTGTCACAAAAGAGTGCATAAGGGAGACGCTGCTAACACATGTCATCCTAACAATTTATGAAAAATGGCCACAACAGTTGCCAAAGGACATCGTCATACAATGGGATAATGCTAGGCCTCATCAGGTACCAAAGGATGAAGAATTTCAAGTAGCTTGTCATGCACATGGGTTCAACATTCAATTCATATTACAACCAGCTCAGTCACCAGAAACAAATGTTTTAGATTTAGGGTTGTTTAGTGTGATTCAATCATTACAATATCAATCTTTTCCAAGGAATCTAGATGACTTAATCAAGGAAGTGGCTAGAGCTTTTCAAGAATTTGATCCTATACTAAACAAGTACACATGGATCACACTTCAATCCTGCCTGATTAAGATACTGGAAAAACAAGGTGGTAATAACTTCTCTCCCCCACACATGAAGAAGAGAAGCTTGGACAACCAAGGTCTACTACCACAACTACTTGAAGTAGACAGGGATCTCATTGGTCAGGTTGTCCATTTTTTGGACACAGTCACAATTACAGAAGATGATGAAGGGCACATGGAAGTAGATGCAGACTGATAACTTTGCCTAACTTTTGGAAGGCTAGTATTAGGGTACTCATAATTGACTGCCACACATAACCTTTTCCTATTCAAACAATTTTTTGAGTTAGATTATGTGTAGGTTATGTGTACTTTTGCTAGATACAACTGGTTTATTTTTTTGGCAGTCATGTAATCAGTCAAGCTCATATATTTTGATTAAACAAACATTTACAAGTTTTATTGTGTCTTTGTTTAATTTTTAGAACCTATTGTGTTTTCAGTCAAAGCTTTAGTGAGTGTTGGTACCTCAAAAAAAACCATTTTGACATGGTTTATGGAGCATCCAGACCACCCAAGTAGCTATCAGATGAGTCCCATCATCATATGGAAAACCAAAAGGGATATGCATGAACAAAAAAGGGACTCAATGCATTACAGGCGGAAGACAAGGGTCAAAATTGAACACTTCCATGGCAAGTAGGTGAAGGTTGACAAAAGCAGCAGAGGACTCAATCTCAACAACCAGAATAGACCATTCAACTGTGAATTCCACCAATGCAACAAACATATAGGCAAATGAACTACTCCAACAAATGCAAACACCACCATCCCAAAACACAAATCAACTTCTATCAAACAACCTACATGTCCTGAAAATACCAGTTTTATCACAATTACCAAATCAACTTCTACCAAACACCACCATCCCAAAACAGAAATCAAATTCTATCAAACAACATACATGTCCAAAAAATACCAGTATTTTAACAAACAGAAACCAACTTCTAGCAGCCACCACCATCCCAAAATAGAGAGGCTAACAAAAATAACTACCCACAATTACTCCAACAGTCATGCATGAACTTCTCATGTAACTAAAATCACAGTCATTCAACAAAATTAACTACTCACACAAACCACAACAACAACCCAGCACACAACTTCTAAACAACTAATTGCACAGTACAAGCACAAACAGAAAAGCTCATAAATAAATTAGGGTTTATAGAGTATACGCTGCGCATTCAATTAAGAGGAGGGTTGAACTGAGGGAAGTAGATCTGCAGGTAAGCCTCAATGACTTCCTCCCTCGTCATGCTGTCTAGAGGACCAGATTTGATGCGTTTTGCGCCGGAGGAAGGCCCCTCGTCACGGTCTTGGGACTCCGGTGGCTTAACCACCTCTGAAACCTCCAGATCTACTGGGGTAGACTCCCCTGTAGCAGATCCGGTGGCTGAAACCTCCACCTCAGTCACTGGAGACCCAGAACCCCCAGCAGAAACAACCGCAGCAACCATGGAACCCTCACCAGCAGGAACCACCTCAGACGGTGGTTCATCATGGCCAGAGCCTCAGAGACCACCACCTTCGGCGGCTCCTCATCGCTGTCATAGTCAGCGAGTTTCGCCCCACGGATCCGCCTCCTCGCAATCACAGAAGCACGACGAATGGGTTTCATCACACCCGTTCCACGGCGGGGTTTGTAGGTAACGCTACCAGATCGGGGGCTGGAAGCACTTGTTTCAAGGATTTCATGGCAAGTTAGATCTAGGTTTTTGTCAGTAGGAGAAGCCATTGACGGACCTCAAAGTTGGATACAGATATACGATCAACAAAGGAATTCAAAGAAAACAAACCAAGGAAGACAGACAGAGAGAGAGAGAGAGAGAGAGAGAGAGAGAGAGAGAGGATGGGATTCAGCAAGTGATGAGATAGAAAATAACAACTAGGGTTTATGTGGGAGGGATTTATTCTGGAGAATTCTCCAAAATAAATGAACTCCAACCAATTCATCAGATGAATTGAATGAGGAGCATTCAATTGAGGTAGTTGGGGAGTTGTTGAATTTGAAGGGTTGGGGTATAATTTTGGTGGGAATGATTAATTTAATTAATCAGTTTTCTTTTTTAATCTAATAAGGTTAGTAATGTAACAAAGTTGAATTATTATAAAAATAAGGGTAAAATGGTAAAATTACATAAAAAACTTTACTAAAAAAGAAAATAAATGGGAAAGTTACAAGTAATTTAGACCAGGAAATATTTGGGAGTAAAGTGGACGAGATACTATTTCAATTTGAATAGCTTCATTTTCTCTGCACTCCTCCGAGTTCTCAGTAAAAGCGATTCCCCTTCACTCAAGAGGGCACTCCGAGACGTTCAAACTCGTGGATTCCGAGAATCTGATAATGGGTATACTTCGAATTATACTTTCTTGCAACCCTTTTCACCCAATTCAATTTTACAATTCATTGGAAGATAATTTGATAATGGGTATACTTCGAATTCTTTGGTTGCAGAAGAAGGAGATTCAAAGAAAAGTAGAATGAAGGAAATGGAAGGAATAGCTTCTATAGCACTTTTGCCTTGTGGGTCCATCTCTGGTCACTTCATCCGTCTTCCTCATTCTACTTGCTATGGTCTCCATGGCATTGGTTTATCTCTTTCCCTTTCTTTCTCTTAACTGCTTTTATTATTCAAATTCATTTACTTGCTTTAATTGTGTTGGTTAGTGTAATAATTGTGAATTGTTGCTCGACTTTTCATTTAATCTTAAGTACTCGTGTTGGATTTTTGACACTTGGGGATGGTATGGACACTGATTGTTTTTACAAAATAGCGGAGTCGGACATGGGACATGAATTTGTATCAGTAATCTAATTCTAATAGTGTTCATTGTTTAGAAAGTGTAAATTAAAACTGCGACTTTGATTTTGATTGGAAAAATCTGTAAGGGTTTTTTTTTTTTTTTTTTTAAGTTTCCTTGTTTGCTTGTCTCTAGATGAGAGGAAAATGTAGAGTGATGGCATTCCCCTAGATTATTGCACCTTACTTTTTGAGAAAACTATATATAGTATGCATCCAGTTTGTCGCGTAAGTTATGTACGAAGTATGATGTTTCATACATTCTGGTTCATAAGGTTTCACTTTTCTTTTTTTGTCCCTTTTCATATATTTAGAGAGAGTGTGATTCACACCTTATGTGGTGAACTTGATTATTAGATGCTACTTCCTAAAATTTAATTATTACGATATTACTACCTTTGCTGGGCTTTGGTTGTCATATTGGTACTTCAAACTATATTATTAAAGTGATGTACATATTGGATGGAGGGAATAAAATCATTACAACTTTGCAAGCAAAAGTGTAATGGGATTTTGGATTTCTGTCATATTGGAGAATTGCGTTTGTTTTTCTCGTTATGACAACTTATACATGTCACTAGTAGTCATGTGCTATTTGCATGACTAGTAGCTGTTAGCTATGTATGGCATTTTCCACCCACTCATAACAAAAGCTCACCTCGTTAACTTGTTCATCCCGACTCAGCCCATACTTTGCACATATTTCCTGGTTAGCAATGTAATTATGGCTATTTCCTAATTCCTATAAGCATCTTCTCCAAGTAGCATGGTTAGAAGCTAAGAGCAGTTTCCCTCTTGCTTCCTTTGAATTACAATATTTCTCTTGGGATTTTTGATTTCACTCTTGTACCATTCTAATTGCAAAATCCTGCTTGCTATTTGAAGCTGACGTGGTATTGGTAATGCTTTGTTTCAATTTTATGCTTGTGCATACCAGCATGTTTAGTACACAACACCCATGTTGCACATGGAAATCCTATCAAATGAAGTACTGCTAGAGGAGTTCTTCAGTGAGAGAACAACAAGAACATTTGATCTGTATATCCTGCTTCTTTCCCTTATTTGTGAATATTTCAATGCTGTATGATGTAATAATGAAAGTTTTAATCAACTGGTTATATGTAATGAGATTACTATAAATTGTGGATGTTGTTTGTGGTGCTCTATGCCCTTATCATGTTTTATTCTATCCCTTACCCAATTTGCTGTTATCTTGTACAGTTCTCTAAACTTGAGCTGTCTTTGTACCACTTGACATTGATTGTGTCTCTGATTTGGTCAGAACTTGCATGTGAAAGAGAGTGCAGTAGAGGTGATGACTATCGTTTGATCAAGCTCAATATTGTTGATTTCGCTGTAATAATCCCTAAAATACTCTCTATTGGATATCACTTTCTTACCTTGTAGTTGTATGTCACTCTCATTATCGTTTGATGACATACTACATGACAGACTAAAAAAGAAGCAATTGTGGTTGTAGAATGCAAAGGACATGATGCCGCAAGGTTTAAGAATGCTGAACATGTACATGGGTAAGCTGTTTCAAAAGTAGCTTAGTGATATATTTTTTCGTTTGGTAGGAACATGAGTGGACTTTATAAATTTATTTATTTTGGTTAAACTCCTTTCTAAGATGTGTAACTTTTGCCTATTGTTTTATTCTATTTATCAAAGGTGTAGTGCTCTTTAATGATGGTTAGAAAGGTCCACTATTTTTATTGACTTCGTGTTATATTCTGCCCTCATTGCTTCAAAATGCAACTCTGAGCTTGATTTTTCATGTGATGGTGATAAAGCACCATCTGATGTATGACACGAATTTCATTGAATCAATTTGGAGAACTAATGCTTTGTTTTCCTCTACAGCATAGTTTGCATGCTCTTAGTTTATACGTAACTACTAACAAGTATTTCTTTTTTGTACTTGGTTTGTAGACAGCTGGGGGAAAGATATCACTAATGAAGTTGAACAGAAGCAAATAAAAAGCAAGATCGTAGTCTCCTTCGAGTGTGAGGCACTTAAAGCTGATAAAGCAGCAGAAGATCACATAAGGCAATATATGCCGAAATTGGCAGGCATGGATGCTGTCGGTAAGTGGTACATTTTTAAAATTTGGCTGTATCAAACTTTTTAGGTTGGTGTCTGTCTGGTTGTTTGGTTAGTGAATGATAAATATCATAAATTATGATGTAAGGTAAAATTGGCTAGACATAAACTATAGTTTGGGTGTGGTCAACAACACGACCTTTAGGTGGAGCAATTAACAACACAACCTTTTGGGGGTGGGTCTGGTTATTGACATGAATTATTTCCGGCATTAAAAATCCCACCAGAAACACATAATGTTCTATTTTTTTATATTTATTTTTTTAAAAGTTAAATCAACCC